CTATTTGCTTCTAGATGCTGATTATGGATGCTATTTTTTTTTTTTTTAATTTGTGCCAGTGCAATTTACCTGTCTGCAACCTCTACCTTCGCCCCGCACTGGGCCTCTCGTCCCTATCTAGATTATACTCACCTTGGGAACCTATAGACATAGTCCTGACCACGTGCCTCCAGATTCCAGACCTCTTGCACCTATAACCTCCCTGGGCTTCAGCTCCTGGGCTGTAACCTCCAACCTTCTTAGAAACAGTTTGCATTATATGGAAAATATTTTTTTTTTTTTCAGTTCTTACATCCCATATCTCTGGCTGTGTTCTGTATCCCTTGTGTACAAAAAGGCTCCTGTAATCAGTCTTGCGCCTGCTCGGTCATTAACTGGATGAGGAAAATGATAAGCCACAGCATTACTCTCACATGAGTTATAGCTTTCAAAATCATTATCCGAAAATAATTCCAGGTATCAAATGCTCCCGCAAACTACTCACGGTGAAATCCCAGGAAAAACTCTACCAAACTCAGAAAATTTAAGATTTCTCTGTGTGCACACTGCCAAACCATCTGTTTCACCACAAGTTCCAAAGATTGGAGGCTTGGTAACCTTTTGCTTTTTACCCAAACCACAGCATTTTAATAAATGAAACCAAACCCTGCTTGCACACCCACTCCCAATTTCTTTGGGATCTGAATCCCAGGTTCCAGTGCTCCCCCTTTCTCGTGCTCATAATCAGGCCGGGTACAGAACATTGGGAGTGTGTGTTCAAAACAGACAAATGAACAAACAGGAAAACCCCAGAGCTCCTAGTATTTGTCCCTGAACTGCTGCAACTGGCCTCAGGGTTCTGCAATAGTCACAAACGGGTGAATAAAATGTTTGCACATGGCGTGGAGGTGACCTAAATATAGAGCTTCTGCAATCTCAAACCCAAACCTGGACCATTTCACTCCAAACCCAGTCAGGCTCATAAGTAACTAGTTGCTTGTGTATTAAATAACACAAAACATCATACTTTTTAAAACATTTATATTTATATATATAAAAAATTAAATATATATAATATATAGTGTGTTTGAGACTAAAAATATAGTACATAATATTTAAAAAAAAAAAAAAAGAAAAAAAAAAGGCAGAATAGGAAAAGGTGTGAGGGACACACAGATACACATTGCTAAAAATCTACGATGGTTTGTCCTAACAAAAATAATATTTCTTTTTCTCTTCTCTTAATTATCATCATGGATCCATCGATTGGGATTTGGGTGGAGAAAAATTCAACTGGAGCCAGAAATAGAGGTTACAATCCCAAGAAAGGCTGGAGTAGAAAATGTGACCACGGGGAGCCTTGGGCCTCTTTCTGGTGAAGTGGGAGGCAGCCAAACTCTTCTGGGTCACTATTGCTAATGAGATTGGGTCAAGAGTTTTGATTGTATTGGCAATTTGGCTGTTCTTTCTCCCCAGAATTTGGGTTTCCCAGGGGCTACATCTGAATGCTCCAGAAGTCCTGACCCACACCAACTCAGAGGCCAGTGGTTGGGGCCAGCAAGAAGCCCAGGGATGGGGAACAGTGGAACGGTAGGAATGAATGAGAGTTGTATGCACATGGAGTTATTATTATTTTTTTAAGGGCAGGCTTGTACCAGAACTGCCCAGTATGGCCTGTGACTTCTGCGCAGCAATGATCTCTCCAGTGGCAGGGCCTGGAGCTCCCTCACAGTGATACAAGAAAATGGGATTCTGCCCCATCTCCCCAATTCAGAGATCCCCAAGCCACACCTCTCCTCAGCAGCCCAGAGGTTGAGTGTCGGAACCAAGCTGCCAGAGGTGAGCCAACAGCCTCACAAACAGCCAGGCTTTGACAAGAGGAGGAGAAATACCCTGGGGGACACGGAGAAGGGAATGAGATCTATAGATGCTGATTCTGTAGCTTTTTCACAAAAATGAATGCCTAATGATGCTGGTGTGCCAGTGGGCCTCAGTGCCCCCTCATGACCTCCTCTCTGGGCTCACCAGGGTCAGGAACCTTACTAATTCTCTCCGGTGATTCCTCCGACATGCAGAATGGGCTGCAGAGGCACAGAGCAGTGACCTGCCTCAGGTCACACAGAACTGAAATGATAGAGAACCAGGGTTTCCCAGCCCAGGGTGGCTTTGGGAGGTCCTGTAGTTCAGCCATAGGGACAAACCGTCCACACAGCAAAGAGTAAGGCTGTGACCAAGTCAGCTCACTCCCAGTTGGGGTCTTGGCCCTAACCTTGGTTTCACACATGCCACTGGGCTAACATTGCTGTTTGTGGCCAGGTGTACCGTGTTTGTGGCCACCTGACTCTGTTTTAAGGAGCCCAGGACCTGATGCTCCTGACAGTGTCTGCAGGTTCACCACAAGAGACTCCCCTGCAATGTGCTCCATCCTGAAAGGCTGAAAAAGCTTCCCTCAAAATCGTAAGGAAAGCAGAAACTGCAGGATAAGGAAGAGTATCGCTGGCAGACAGGGTGGTCAAACTAACCTTCCATTCCAAGCTCCATATTTGAGAACCTAGCACTGCTCTCATGCCTGGTACTACTGTCCTTTCTCACTATGATGAGTTTTGTTTCATGCAAACTCTGTGGCTGGACTTTGAGGGATCCAGGATTTAGGATGCAGGCTGGGCCCTTCACAAGCAGAGACCATGCCTCATCCAAGGTATTAAGAACCTTTTTGGGATCCAAAGCTTATGTCAAAACCACTTGCCTCCTCTTCCCCCCACTTGCTCCCTCATGGAGGGGTCAGCTGGACCCACTCCCAGTCCAGCTCGAAACATTTGGACTGCAGGCTTCACCTTGTTCAGTAACCAGGAGGAGTTATCCTTTGGGCCATAGGAGTGTTTTGAGGACCAATTACCACTCCCCACCAAGAAATAGATGCCTGTCACCTGGGAGCAAACTAAAGGAAACCCACTATGCCCTTCTCTAGCCACAGTCTTCTTTGCAAACCTGTCAGAATCAAGTGGGAAGCAGCACAGATAACTAGGGTAGCTGTTGCTGCTTGTAATAAAGGGGTTTCTGGTGGAAATTAATTCACAACACTTCTGACAAGATAATGAAGCACATGGTGAAAGCTCCTTTCAATAGGGGAGAACCCCTGAGCTCCCCAACCCTCACGGATTCCTTACTGCTCCCAACTGCTTGCCAGGGATGCACAGCCCCACAGGTGAACAAAGCCAAAACGGAATCCTTTCAGGTTTGTGTAACTCTCTCCTCATCTAGCATGACAGAAAGTTGGAGGCAATGAACATAGAGGTTAGGCCAGGCCACTCTGTGAATGAACCCAGCATCGGAACTGGGTCCTGGATCTGACCACTAGCCCCGTGCCCTTCCCACTGAGATGGTAATGTCCAAGGGAATCAGGATTCCAAGTCCTGGGGCAATGCAATGTTGGGGACTATAGCTTCAGACAACAGAGCTCTGTGATCAAGGGCATCTTCTCCTCCCTAGATAAGCTATCCCACTTGGTCCACCATGCAGGTTCTCACAGTTAAAACCGAAAAGGAGGATATGAGAATCTGCCCAATTCCCAAACAAAATTGAATACCTTGAATATTCCTGTTTTAAAGGTAACCCTATTTAGACTTCAATTGTTTAGATTAGCCATAGCTGCTGGTGCCTATGAAAAATTTGCACAAATTTATCTGCACAGGAACCTGCATTCTTAAAGCCTTCTCTCTGTGCTCTCATGAGAGGACTCCGTAGGACCGTTTGAGCTTCCAGGGGTGGGATACAGCTGGAAACCGTAAACACCCCAGGTAGGTCCTGTTCTGCAGGGACTGTCCGGCTCAAGTGGAAGAGGACACAGGGGCAGGCTGGAACTGCAGCTGCTAGTTTCCGGGGTGTTACTTAGTCTTTACCAGTGAGAGGATGTCTAGGAATGTCACCCCACGGACCCATCTGTAAGGGGTGGTGATGGCCCGTGGCTGATGAGCATGTAACTCATTAAAGCGAACATGACTAATGAATGGTGACCACCGAGAAAGGGCAAGGAGCATTCTGGGAATTGCACCGGTGTCCCCCTCCCATCGGGCTGGCCATGGGCAAGGAGGCAAGCTGCAGACGCAGCTCCTCGGGCAGACAAGGCCGGGCAAGGGTACCGATTCTCTTTGGGGTGCCTGTTCTCTTTGGTCAGAAGGTGGCAGCTGAGAAGTGATGGCATGGAATGTGTGTGGGCGCGGGTGCACGTGGGGGTGGGACAAGAGAGCATGGGCTTTGGAATGCCTGCAGTGCCCTTCTGTGCCTCCTTCTCCACCCAGGCCAGCGCTGAGCTCTCCCTCAGGGCCATCTCCAGGCCTCCTTCCCCTCCAGGTCCTCTCCCCTCACTCTCCTCTGACACGGTAATCCTTGCCAGCCTGTCTGAAGCTTCCCAAGTACCGCTCCCTGCCCAACCGCCCACACAGGGACGGTCACCCAAAGCTAGACACTCAAGGCACTGAAGTGGAAGAAGGAGTCGGATTGGTCCAAGGAGGGAAAAAGACACTTAAACCAGAACTTTCCTAGAGAGAACCTCTCCCGGCCCTCTGGGAGGTGGGGCAGCTGGTGGGGCTTAGGGCAAGACAGCAGAGTCAGAGACCAATGCCCTTCCCTAACCCTGTTGGAGCCCACCTGGACCACCTGAATGTATAAAATGAATTCAAAGTGCTTAGAGACTGAAAGGGTAATGGAGGGTGTCGGGAACTTGGTGGAGAAGAACAGGTATCCCTTTTTCTTTCCACTGGGACTTGTATTTGGGCGGGGTAACCCCTACAGCTTCTTTCCAGATGAGGTTTTCATCATTTGTTGTTGTTGTTGTTGCCTTTGCAAAATAGCTTGCAACACCTCTATCTCAACCTACTGCTCCCCAAGCAGGCTCAAGAGTTAAAGCCAGGAAGTGGGGCAGAAAACGGAGCTGGAGGGCCTCCCTCTAGTGTTGGTTCTGGGAACTGCCACACAGCAGCAGCGCACAGTGGTCTCTTGCTGATCCATCAGGACATGGACCTGACCTTTCCTTCTCCACCACACTTGCAACGTATCTGGGTGGGCCCAGCACAGGGGGAGAAGGGAAGAAGGGAGCAGTGCTGCTGGAGATTTCTGGATCCCTCTGCACCCTGACAGATATCCGCAGTGGCAGCTAGGGTGACTGACATTTTGATACCAGTTGAGGGAAGGCTCCCAGGGCTGTTCTATAGACAAGAGCCAACAGAGAACCCAAGGTCCCTTCTGCAGTGCCCTGAGGGGACAGATGCACCCAAGACAAGAAAGCAAACAAAGGGACTGAGTGGGCTATCCTGTTTTCCATCTGTGCTAGAGCCACCCACTCCCATCCTTAAATGTCCCCTAGGTCAAAGCCTGCCAACCCCTGCGTATCCCCCTGCCTGTTTATGGGAGACCACAGGGGCGGGATAGAAAGGGAATGCTAAAAAGTGCCCCCTCTGTTCTCCCCAACCTTGACTTTCCCTGTCCCCGTGCTGGGGTCAGCAAGGGCACAGGTCGGAAGAGACACAACCTCCCGAAGAAGAGGGAAGGAAGGGCAGGCCCAGGAGGCTGGGGCATGCACAGAGCACCATCCTCGGGACGGGGTGTTTCTGGGAGACCTGCTCCCCACCTGCCTTGGTGGGAGGAGGAAGGCTGGTCCGAGAAGGGAGCAATTAGCAACGCCCCTGAATATCAGGGAACAGCTGTGAGAAGCCTTCTCCTCTGCCCCGCAGAGATGCCCCCGCCAGGTCTGGCCCCTACACGTGAGTCTGCATGCGCTGCTGGAACCGCTGGCCGTAGTCCGAGTGCTGAGAGGTGTAGGAGAACCGAGTGGCCGTGGCGTACTTGCCGATGGGGTCATACGCCTCGTACGGGGTCCGCTCCAGGCTGGAGGGTGGGCCCTGCGGGTAGCCCAGTCGGTAGGTGGGGTACCCAGCTGCCCCGGGGAAGGGGTGGGAGTTGAACTTCTCGTAGTTCTCGTAGGACAGCTGGCTGGTTGTGTCGGTGCCCGCAGGGGCAGCAGGGCCAGCGGCTGTGGGTTCAGGGCCATAGTCAGAGGCGGGGGCCCGGCTGTAGGTATTGAGCTGGGCATAGCCGCTGGAGTGGGAGAGACGGGATGAGGGGCGACCATCAAAACGGGCAGGGCCAGGGGCGCGGTAGTCAGCATAGAGCACTGCCCTGGAGGACGGGCGGTCTTCGTGGGCGCGCACATTGTAGTAGCCATTGGTGGGGTCCTGGGGGGCAATGAGAGAAGAGCACGGAGGCTGGAGTTTCCTCTTGGAGTCTCCGGGGCTTTCTGGGCCTCCCCCTCTGGCTCTCCCTGTTCCCATCCAGCGCCACTCCACCGCCCCCCTCCCTGCCACAGATCTCCTCCAGCAGCAGGCCCTGGGCCCCTATTTCCCAGTGGGCGGGTCCTCAGCCAGCCCCAGCCCTTTTCCCACCTTCATCTCATACTCCTCCCGAGTGTCGATGGTGTCACAGCGCAGGTCCTGCTTCAGATCCACATCATCCTTAAAGGACTGCAGAGTGGCAGGAGCGGGTGTCAGGAGATGGGGGCCCTGCTCTTGTCCCCCCTCGCCAACCCCGTCCCCATGCCCAGAGGCCACCTGCTAAGGGAAAGGTCTGGGGTCAGAGGCAGACTTGCATTCTGTGTCTTCCCCCAGCAGAGGCACTGGGATGTGGCCGGAGGAGGCCAGAGACCTGGCTTCCAGCAGGTACTGGGGATTGCACCCAGGGGTGCTCTACCACCGAGCCACGTCCCCAGACCTTTTTATGTTTTATTTTGTATTCTGAGACAGGGTCTTGCTAAATATCCCAGACGGGCCTTGTGCTCCTCCTGCCTCGGCCTCCTGAGCCTCTGGAATTACAGGTGTGTACCAATGCACCTGGCTACCCAGCACGAATTCTGTGACTAACATGCAGTGTGACCTTATGAATGTGGCTGCTGCTCTTTGGGGCTGTTGCCTCATGTCAGTGATGAGGGAGTTGGAGCAGAAAACACCTAAGGAGTTCCAACTCTGGGTCTGTGTGGCAGAAAGACGGGACAAAAGAAACCTAAGAGAACCCCACCCCTGCCTGTCCTCTCCTGGAGGGAAACTAACCTGGCATATGTATGTGTGCATGGGTATGAGTGTGCAAGTGTGTAGAAGTGAGTTGAGCTGGGTGGAGCTGGTCAAGAAGGGGACCCTCACCGAGTAGATGGCCTTCATGACCCGGGTCGCCGTGGAGACGCTGGCAGTATCGTCTTCCCGGTCAGAATGCATGGTGAGTGGCTCTTGGTTCACGGTTTCCACCTTGATGTCCAGCTTCCTCAGGGTCACATCTTTACGACCTGGGACGGGGAGATGCAGCTGGGCCAGGTGCTTTCTGCCGTGGCTGCTTCTAGTCCCCCCCCATGAGCTAGGGAGCTCAACTGCCACCCCTTGGCTCGTCACGGGCACTGTCTGGAATGTCTCGTCACATGCCCTGGAATGAATGCGCATGCAGTGGGGACAGGTGTGCTGTGGCTGCATGGGGACCATACTCACTGCCTTTGCGGCGTCGATAGAGGAAAAATACCAAGGCAATGAAGAAGAAGATGACCAGGATGCCTGCGCCAATGGTGGCCCCCGCGATGATGCCCACAGGTAACACCTCTTCCGACAGGGGAAGGAAAGGAACAGGGGTGAGCACAGAGCCATACTGGGAACCTGCGCTCAGTGTGGGCCATGAGCCACAGTGGCAACCCTGGATCGTGTACAAGGCTAAGTTGTGACTGAGCTTGTGGACCATACGAGGTTCAAGTTCAGGTTGCAATGGAGAGGGAGGTCTGGATGGTTGCCGGATTGCAATGCTTCAGCCCGACCAGACTTGACTTCATGGCCGTGTCCCACCCCTGCAGCTGGGCATTGGCTTGACTCTGGCCCTTGGTTAGTCTCGTCTCTCCCTGTTTTGGTCCACCTGACCATGAAGCATGGTCCCGCCTTCCTGGGCAGGGCCCCTGTTTGAGGGCAGCTGTCTCCAAACACTCTGATCTGCCATCTGTGTTCCACCCTCTTGTTGCCTCCCCCATCTACACCACACCACTGTCTTCTCCCAACCCCCATCACACCCTGCAGCATCCTCAGCTAAATCTAAATCAATGAGATCTCTAGTCATTTTCCATAGTTCCCTATGCCCAACCTCAATGCCTAGTTCTCAAAACCAAAAACAAATGCTGTCTTTCCCTCATCCGACTTGAGGATGCCCATAAGTCAAAAGCAGTCCATCTGACCAGCAGTGCCTGAAAGGGGGACACATCTCTCCTATCAGACTGAGGATTCTTGAAACGGTCGGGGAACCCAAACTTACTGAGCACTGTTACGTACCAGGCATTTTTTGTAAATATTGTCTCACTGAATTCTAACAAAATACCCAACGAGATAGGTAGTGTTACCCGCCTTGTACAGATCACTTAATTTTTCTCCATCTGAATTCATTTGCTTCCACTGTGTAAGCTCCTCCACTAAGCTGAAAGTTATTTGTGGGCAAGACTGCCCCTGCAGCCCCTACCGCAGGGTCTGGCCCATAAAGATGCTCAGTAAATGTTCATAAGGGAGCAAATTTCCCCACTGAGCACAAGGCCAGCATCTGGTGGGGCTACTCAAGAGGAGTCCTCTCTCTTTCGGAGCCTTGCCCTGGAGAAAAGAGGGAGCAGAATCCCCGGGCTGCCCTGGGCTGGGCTGGACAGCCAGCATGGCCAGTCACCTCGCTCTTCCAGCTGGATGATGGCTGTGCCGGGCCCAAAGCTATTCCAGGCCGTGCAGTTGTAGTGGGTCTGGAAGTCGGCCTCCATGACATTGTTGATGGTGAGTGTGGACAACACCCCGCTGCCCGAGTTGGTCCTCTCCACTGTGTATCGTTCCAGGGTCCCCACTTCTAGGAAGTTCTCCTTCCATGCCCAAGCCTGGGGTGGGGAGGACAGGAAGGAGGTCAGAAAGCGGGAAGTGGCAGAAGCATTTGCTCGGGTATTACCTGATCCTCCCTGTATTCCCCTCGCCCCCATCTGCCCTGTGCATCCTAAGACCTGCCCAACACTTACCCTATAATGAACATCACACCTACTGCCTCAGATCCTTAGCATTGAGGAGCAGGGGCTCCCAGACATGGAGGACATCAAATTTACCTAGGGAAATTCTTTAGAAAGTACAATCTCCAGGGAAGAGATCTAGGGATCTTTTAATTATGACCCTGTGTGATGTGGATACAGCTGACCCAATAAAGGGATGTTGCAGAGGAAAGTTCTGGATTGGGATTTGAGGACCTTGGACTATAATCTTGGTTCTCTCCTGTCCCTGAATCCCTGTGTGGCCTCTCTTTCCCTTTCTAGGTCTCAGTTTCTTCATCTATAAAATGAGAGAATCAGGCTAGAAATGGGCGATATTCAAAATTTCTTCTAGCTCTAAAGTCTGTGATTCCATAGCTTAATCTTTAGCCTTACCTTTAAACAACAACAACAAACAAACCCCAAACTTATTTTTATGTGGTGCTAAGGATGGAACCCAGTGTCTCACATGTGCTAGGCAAGTGCTCTACCGCTGAGCCACAACCTTAGCTTTGACCAACCCACAAGAACCTGCAATGCTGGCACTGGAGACCCACCCGCCCGCAGGCTCTTGAAATGGGCAGGAACCAGAGAGGAGCATCCCCCAGACCCCTGCCTTCCCCACCACCCTGTCCTCACTCACAGAGTGGAGCTAAGGAAGGGGAGCAGCTGAGAACTAACTGCCTCCTTTCCAGGGATCAGTCCTCCCAGCTCTGCAAAGATGGCCCCCCGGGAGCCCAGCCGTCGGCTGCCCGGGCGGCCGTGGTAATGAAGTGTCCCTGGGCAGCCCTGGAGTTAGCCAAATGGTCATTAAATGTGATGAGGGGTTTGACGGTTAATGGTCATGGAACGAATTAATGGCTCATGGTGTGGGGGGAGGAGGGAGGAGTGGAGAGGGGCTGGGAGGAGGGATGCACGAGAAGGGAGAGGAGGATGGGGCAGGTGGGAAGGAAAGCCCGTGGGGAGGGAGGAAGCAGGCTGGGCGAGGGGAGGAGGGAGAGGGAGGGGGAAGGCAGGCAAGGTGGGAGGACAAGAAAGCACTGGGGATGAGGAAGGAGAGTTTACAGGTCAAGCAACTAAGGTTCAAAACGCTATGAAACTTGCCCACAGTCACCCACATAAATGAGGAGGTGGGACAGGGGAACAGAAAGGCAGAGGGTTAGAAGACCAGGAAAGGGGGTGAAGACATCGAAGCGCCAAGCCAGAGGCAGTGGGCAGAGCAGCAGGGGCTGGGGTCCAGGCTGGGTCCCAGCACTCACGATGCGGTCGGGGGGTGGAGTGCTCCCTATGAAGCATTCCACTTTGCCACCGTCACCTCTCACAGCGTACTGCACCGCCTCGCTGGAGATAATGGGGGGCCCTGCGAGCGAGAAGACACGGTCAGGGCCCGTCGGAACCTGCAGCCCCTGCAGTCAGGAGCCCCCACCCCAACCCACTCAGGCCACTCACCATTCACATAAAGTGGCACCTCCCGCTCAGCCACTCCGATCCGAGGCACGATGGCCCGGCAGGTGTAGGTGCCGGCATCTGCCTGGGTCACCGACTTCAGAAGCAGTTGGTTGCTGTTACTCAGAACCTGGGCAGAGAGAGCAGCCTCGGGTGGGGAGCCAGGAGGCCTGGGCCCCTAGGTCCGTGAGGGCCCCGCATTGGAGGCATTGGAAAGAAAGCAGGAAGGGCCACAGGTGAATTCCCAGAAGGGAGATGGAGTTCCCGAGTCCGTTCGATCCTTCCCCTGACTCTAAACACACTGGCACTGAAACAGATCATCTGTGCAAGAGAGGCCAGGGGCTGAGAGGAGGCCAGCCAGGGCAGGTGGAGGCTGCAGTAATTTTAAGATAAAGTCCTATTGAACGATCTCCTCCAGTGGGTTTATTGCCAAACCAGGTAGGACACCTGACCCTGAAATTCTTCTTCCTACCATTCTGGTCCAAACTGTCACTAGGCCCCCATTAGGTGGGTCTCTAGAGCTGCGGAACCCAAACTTCTCTAGTGAGTCATTCTGGCTTCCCCCCCTTCCTGTGCACCGTTAATTTCCTGGATCTTGTGCCACCAGAGCCATGTTACCTCAGGCCCTCTTTCCTCCTGCCCCACAGCCAGATCCCCTGCCCAGGGCCAGCTTGTCCCTCCCACGGCCTCTGAAGTGGTCAGCTGTCTTGTGAGCAGGGGAAGGGCCGACCGCAAGCACTGCCCTTCTCCTCTACATTGCCGGACCCTCGCTGTATTGCCCAGGTTCAACTTGAAAAAAAGAATCCCACCCCCCTCCTTGTCCCTTGCTAGGCCCCCACGGCCACATCCCTTCGTCCCCATTCAGGATGGACAGGGAGAATCTTACCATGTTTGAGTCCTTCTTGGTCCAGGTGAGGGTGAGGGGGGGATTCCCAACCCAGACACAGGTGAGCGTCACATCAGAGCCAATGTCTGTAGTCGTGGGCTTGGGGTCAACTACAATCCGGGGGGCAACTGAGGTAAACACAAGCAGCTGGTCAGGTCCGAAGCTCACTGGGGTCCACACCCATCAGTCTCCCCTTCCAGCCCCCCACCCCAGCTACCCCTCCTTAGTTATTTCCCATCGTTAGCTCCTTGAGCTGCGTGGGTCCTTTCACCACCCCCACCCTATGCCCTGTGAAGGCCCTCTCTCCCTGTCCCTGTCCTTTTAGCTACTCACAGTGGACGTTTACTAAAGTGCTGACGTTGGTACTGCCCACTTTGTTGTGGACCTCACAAGACACGGGCTCCGTGAAGAAGGAGTAGTCGACGTTTGTCTCGTAGCGGCTCTCCTGGGCATCTTCAATCAGGAAGCCCCCCTTGGCCCACCTGGGGGAGGACGCAGCACAGAAGTGGGATCAGGACTTGGCATCCTCTCTCCGCTACCTCCGAGGACACTGGCCTCCACAGTACCCCCACCTCCTGGTCTCACTATCCCTCCCAGAGCGCTCCCAGCCCCGACCCTATCACCTGTAGCCCAGGATCTCGGGGTTGGCTGTGGCCTGGCATGTGAAGACAACACGCTCGCCTTCCTGCACCGTCTGCGGCTCAATGGACAGGGTCACTGTGGGAGGGTCTGCAAAGCAGGGGACAGGAAGTCAGGGTCTCTTCTGTCTTTTGAATTTCTTATTCTCCCCCTGGCACATATGTTCTGGTGTGATCTGGGAATGTGGGTTTGCAGTATGATAGGTCCAATAAATAAACCATCTCCCTCATCTTCTCCACACAGGTGGAAGGGTGGTTGGCGAGGGTGACTGACCACCAAGGATGGCACCCAAGGGGCAAACTATTTAATGGGTGTAATGACACACCACAGCCACTAGGCGTCAGTGTGGGCTCACTGGTCTAACTACAAGGGGACAGGGTGGGAGCATCCCCAATTACTGCTGGCACCCCCATGTTTCCCTGGGCAGAGAGGGAATTTACTGAGCACCTACCAGGGTAAGCATACCCCGTGCTAGGCGTTCTTATATTCTAACTTATTTAATTCTCACAACCCCGAGAAGCAAGTCCAGATCCAAAATCCCTTATCTGAAACCCTTGGGACTGGAATTTGGAATTTTTCAAATTTTTTAGAAAGACTCTTTACTATGCAAGATCCCCCGCAGCATTTGAGCAATGCGTCATGGTGAGACATATAACCCACTTTATTTATTATTTATTTTGGCAGTTCTGGGGATTAAATCCAAGGATGCTGGCTCTATCACACTGAATTACATTCATTCTCCAGATCTTTTAAATTTTTATTTTGAAGCAGGGTCTCACTAAGTTGCCAAGGCTGGCCTTGGACTTCTGATCTTCCTGCCTCAGCCTCCCTAGCTGCTGGGATTACAGGCGTGTATGTGCCACCACACCCAGCAGGAGCATATGAATACCTGTTTTCAAGTTTTGACCCTAAATCACTTTAGTTTTTCGGAATTGTGGATAAAGGACTGTTGGTCTGTATTGCATATTCTGCAACCACAGTGCCCCTCTGTCAGCCCTCAGTGCCCCGAGTTCCAACCAGGAAACTGAAGACAAGGAAGGGCACAACTGTCCTGGGGCCCCTATGGGATGCTTATTCTGGGCTTCTAAAAAGGTCGCCTGCATCCTCTCCCCACCTGACAGCCCCCGACTGCCCCTCCTCGGGACCCCACTCACGATGCACATCCAGCTGAATGGAAGTCTCCTTGCCGCTGGGGATGGCCTCGTTCATGCTGCGGCAGGTGAAGACGCGTCCGATATCCAGGTCTGTGGGGTGAATGAGCAGCTGGCTGATGGTGGTCTCCCTCTTCCCATCCTTCAGCAGTTCCTGGGAAGGGCCGAGGGTGGGTGACACGGTCAAGCTAAAAACCCTCTGCTCTCAGGGGACCCACTCAGAGTCGAGCTTGGGCAGGTGGAAGGCTTTAAAGTTCAGCTTTCTCCCTTGCTCCCAACTTCTTCCCCACGATGTGATGTTGTTGTTTTTAATTTTTCAGACTTTATTATTATTATTATTATTATTATTATTATTATTATTATTATTATTATGGGTACCAGGGATTGAATTCAGGGGCACTCAACCACTGAGCCACCTCCCGAGCCCTATTTTGTGTTTTCTTTAGAGGTAGGGTCCCACTCACTGAGTTGTTTGCAACTTGCTTTTGCTGACGCTGGCTTTGAACTCACGAGCCTCCTGTCTCAGCCTCCGGAGCCGCTGGGATTATAGGCATGCACCACCGCACTCACAGACTTTATTATTTTGCAGCAGAAAATAGTTTCCATATATTCTCCCTACCTCAGTTTCCCTCATCATTGACATCTTGCACTAGTGTGATACATTTATTACAATAACCAGGTGTGGTGGCACACACCTGCAATCCCAAAGACTTGGGAGGCTAAGGCAGGAGGATAGTGAGTTCAAAGCCAACCTCAGCAACATAGTGAAACTCTGTTTCAAAATAAAAAGGACTGGGGGTATAGCTTGGAGAGAGAACACACCTGGGCTCAATCCCGGGCCCCTCAAATAATAAACAAACAACAGAGGAACCAATATTGATATATCATCACTGAAGTTCATAGTGTGCATAAGAATTCCCTCTTTGTGTTGCATAGTTTCCCCCATGGCATTGAGCTTCATTCTTGGGATTCTTTGAGCCCAGTACAAGTCCTTCCTCTTCTGAAGAGCCTGTGAGGGCCAGCCCCAGGCTTCGGGACTTTCAGCCTGAACTTGGCCCCTCACAATCAGGCTGCCCTACACGTGGCTCGAGGCACATCCACCTGGCTCCCTGGGTGTGTTTCAGTGCCGGGCCTTTCCTGCTGACAGGTAAACGCCTTTGAGTTTAGGGAAGGGACTCATAGGCTCAAAGTCACTGGCTCAGTGACACGCAAGCAGAGGTCCCCAAATATGGTCACAAGAACCCTCAAGGCCTAATTTCCCATATTGCCAACCGTCTAAGGGAAATGCTCCCATGAACCAAAGTAAGGTCCTGCAGTTTGACAGTCATACACACATCTTTGGGGGACTGGGACAGTACAGTAACACTCATGTTGCTTCAAAGTGCCACAGTCTTAAATGAATATGAGAAGGGGGTGGACAAGAAATGGCATTAACAAATAGACTTGAGAGATTTTATATAAATATATATTCATAATATGTGCATATATCTACACACACACATCCCCCCACATCCTGGGGATTGAACCCCGGGCTTCACACACACTAGGCAACTGTTCTACCACTAAGCCACATCGCAGCAGCCCAACTATTTTAAAACATGTACCCTATAGGAGAAAAATAACTGAGTTCTTGATGGTAAAGGGTTAAGAACTATTGAGGCCAAAAGATCACTTTTAAATTCCAGAGAAGTAGAAGGAATTTTTCAAGGTCACACAGTGTGTTAGGAGTAGAGCTAAAGCCAGAATCCCCTAAGCTCATGCTTGGAGGAATGTTCTCTCTCCCCACCCTGAGAAGCATCTCCTGCAGCTCACAGCAAAGGGCTGGGCACATATGTTCCCCCATGGCTAGCAGAAGGAACCCAGGAAACAAAGATTTTTTTTTCTTTTTTTTTTGTGATACCAGAGATTGAGCCCAAGGGTGCTCTACCACTGAGCTCACCCCAATCCTTTCATTGTTTTACTGAGACAGTCTCCAGAGTTTCTCAGGCTGGCCTCCAATTTGCAATCTTCCCGCCCCAGCCTCTCAAGTCTCAAGGATTACAGTCATGCACCATCAGACGGGCTTCTACCACCAATTCTGCCATGTGACCTCGGCAAGTCACTTACTGTCTGGATTCCTTATCAATAAAACATACGTGGAAATCCCCGTTTCCCCAACCTCTGGGTTGTCGTGATTGGGATAATGTGCCAACTTGATGCTGAAGGAAACGGGTAGAGGTGACTCGTGCAGAGAAAGCACTGTCAGACCCAGGTACAAATCCCAGCTCGCCAGCTGGGTGACCTCGGCAAGGCACACGACTTCTCTGGTTATCGGTCCCCTTTGTGAGCTCACAGGGAGACTGTCCAGGAAGTGCGTATCATGCAGGGGACCTGGCATACAGGAGGTGCTTCATCAATGGCAGCGGCTAGTACTATCCTCCACTGCTGTTCAGCCAACTGGCACAGTGAACCCGGGAATCCAGCTCTCTAGGCCTCCGTTTTTCCCTTCTCACATCTATGTTCTCCCCAGTCTATGGTCAAATCCCCGTGGGGACGGAAAGGTGACCTAGGGCTGGGCCAAGAGGAGCCAAGGGGGCAGGCCAGCGTCTCACCGTGCTGGCCACAGCGCCCTCCTGCTGCGTCCCATCCCGGAACCAGATGATGGTGGCTGCAGGCTTGGCGTTGAAGGCTCGGCACGTGAGGTTGTGGGGGGTGCCCGCCTGCAGCAGAATCACAGGGCCTCCATCAATTCTGGTGTCCTCTGGGGGGACTGCGGGGAAGAGCAAAGCAACGTCAGCCCAGGCTGTGGCCAACAGTGCCCTCCTGACCAAGACCTCTGCCCACAGAGGCATCCCTGCACCCACATCCACACCTCTCTGCAGGGCGGTGCCACCCACCCCTGACTTACAGTAACCGTATTGCCCCACGCTATGTTCATGTGCTTGTCCCAGCCTCCTGCCATGGCTATTCTTTCCTAGCCTGGACCATTTTTTGTTACTACGCTCCCTCATGATGGCTCAGGTGTCATGGATACATACTACAGATGGAGCGGTAGCATTGAATAGGAGAGGGCTGGCTCTCGGGGCTGGAGTACAGCTCATACCTAGGGAAGGTACAGGGCTTCTTGCATCCAGCCCCCCGCCCCAGCCTGCTCCTCTGCTTTGGGGCAACTGCCCTGAACATGATGAGTGCCAGGCCCCTCAGACCCCTGCTCTGGAGCCCTCCAGCCAGGCCCTGCAGCTTTGCACCTCATTGTTCTTTCATGATGGTATGTCCTTAGCTCACAGCTGCTGTTGGGGTCCTGGCATCCTGCTCGAGTCTCAGTGCATGCACAAAGTTTCCCATGCTCCATTCCCCAGACATTCCCATAGCTCTCAGCACTGGCTAAATACTCCTCTTATCTGTATTTGAATTCCTTGCAATGATTATCTAACCCGATCCCAACCAAAACCCCTTGGAAAGCAGAGACCCTCTCCTACTAACATCAATATATAGTCTCCGGTGCCTAGACCAAAGCAGCCCTTTACTAAATGCATAAGGAATCCAATTGTCAGATATCTGATGTGGCAAATGGTGGTGGTGGTGGGGCCTCTCTATCTCCAGTCTCTGCAGGCTTCTAAATGCTCAGGTGATCAGATTGTGAGTTGCCTTGGGGCATGGGCTCTTTTTATTTACTCTAAACCCTCAACGTCCAGAGCTTGGTCCTTAGCAGGTTCTTTGGGGAGATTTTTTTGCTGAATTAATAAGTGGACAATTGATGGGATAAAGGCAGGAGGATTTTGATTGTGATCTTTTTAGTCCCCACAGCGATCATCAGCTAGAAATGAGAAAAGATGTGTCTCTGCTTCTTTGGGGGAAGATAAGGGGGACTCTAAGGGAGCTTTCCAAATGGGACCCTTGAAAGGAGACCCTGGGAGGTCCATGGAACTGGGGAGGAAGGGCTGTCCTGGAGCTTATGAAATGAGCTTCTCTATGTTGGGGTTTCCACTTGTGGCCTGTGCCAGCATTCTGTTCAACGCACGCACGCCGCGTGGTATCCTGGGAAAAGAATGGAATTTAGAACCAAGCTCCTGTGGTTTCAAATCCTGGCTCCTGTCTGTGATTTGGGGAGTCTGGAGTCTGTGAGTCTGTGAGTCTTAGTTTCTTCATTAGAGACTTAATGCCTACTCGCTGGAATGTCTGTGAGGTGCTGTATGAAGACGGTATCGTGTGATTCACTTGTGAAATGTAAAATGTGTTCGATTTACTTCCCTCCCCCAGTCGTGAGCAGTGGCTCCCGCCTGGCTGACCATCCTGGACCCCCAGCTCCTCCTCTTGCACCCTGATGTATCTATCTGGTTCCAATGCCAGATGGGGATGCAGGTGAGAAGCAGCTTGAGAACTAAAGAAATGTGGAGAGAGATGAGTAAGGGGCTGCCTCTCAGGGTCTCCTGGTCTTTCATGGCACCTTGATGTCATACCAGGAAGTAGGGTCCTGGGTGTCCAGAGCCCTGAGCTTCTACAGGTGGAGATGCCACGCACACCCAGATGCAGGGCCGCTCCGGGGTGAGCTCCTGAGCTCCTCCCATGAGCTCTCTGTTCCCTTTGTTCAGGGAAGGACTATCCATCTGTCACTTCTCCCTCCAGCCCACCTTTTCTCTAGCCTTTCAAACTCTGTGCCTACTCTCTGTGAGCCCGTCTCTGCCCTCCACAGCTGGGCAAAGGACGCCAGCTGTTCGGGTGCAGGAGTCCACTTGTGCTCGTGCGTATGAACGAGATCTCAGGATTTGTGACTTCGATCTGTGTATCAGTGTGCCCACGTAGTGTCCACGCCCTCTGTTCCCTTGTTTGTGAAATTTCAAAACTAACATCGATACCAACTCCCCAGAATTGCAGTTGTGGGGGTAAAATGAGATGGAGGAAGAGAAGCCACCTGTAAAGTGTGATACGATTGACGAGAATTTCATCCGTCCTTGGAAGTGGGCCTTGTGTCAGCTAAGTGTCTCGTGCAGGTGACTTTATTTTACCTTACCACAAGGTGTCCTTCCCTAATCCTTTCATGGGAATATCACTAACCCTAATTTACCAAGGAGGAGCTGAGGCTCCGGAGGTTACACTGACGCACTCAGAGCCACTAGAGCGGACTCGGTGGCACAGCTGGGATGTGGGCCAGGCCTGCCTGACCCCAAAGCTAAGCCCATGGCAGTGCACTCTGGTTGTTATTGCTGTGACTAATGAGCTGTCGGTCTGCAGGTCTATATTGTGTCTGTGTCTGCCGGGGAGCAGGAGGCCTCCTCTCAAAGCCTGCCATAAAGAAGAATGAAAGAGTTCATTCTGTGAAGATGGCTGGCCTGGAGAGGTGGGGTGGGCAAGGGGCACACTGGCTGGGGCTGAGGGGGGTTTATGAAGCTGGTGTGTACAGGAAGGTTGATCCCAGGCCCAGGGCACAGCACCTTCCTCCTTTGTGGCCTGCCCGGTCTCTGGGCGGGCCCCAGGCTGCCTGGAGCCAAGGCTCTGGGTAGCAGGAGGGGTGCAAGAAATATCACGCCTTCTGGGGGGCCCAGTGGCATATGCTTTGTAATCTCAGCTGCTCAGGAGGCTGAGGCAGTAAGATGGCAAGTTCAAGGCCAGCCTAGGAAATTTAGTGAGACCCTGCTTCAAAACAAACAAACAAACAAGAGCTGGGGATGGAGCTCAGGGGTAGAGTGCTCCTGGTTCAATCCCCAGTACTGCAAAAAAGAAATGTCGGGCTTTCTTATTACCTCTGTGGGGCACCTCTGCCAGGTATTTCAGGGCTCAAGAAAGAGACCAGGAGGGGGTAGAGTGAGGGAAAGGTGCAGCTAGACTAAACATCCTACCTCCCAGGCAGCATGCATGTGCGCTCTCGCTCCCCCCAATCTCCTTTTCTGGTGGTGCTGGGGCTCAGAACTCTTGTGCACGCAAGGCTAACATTCTACCCACTGAGCTGTATCCCCAGCCCAGCTCTCTGACTCTTAGGGCCTTTCCCTGCTTTGATCACACATTCAAGCCAGACCAGCAAGACCCCACCCAACACTGACCACATCCTCCCATAAGCCAGTGTCCCTGCTCAGGCAGCGTGCCCTCGTTGACCTACAAGCTTTTGAACAAGGCACTCCTGCATCTAGGGCTCCCTTTGATAGTCTTCTCCTCCAGGAAGCCTTCCTTGACTGAACCAACCCAGTGGAGGCCATGAGAAGCCATGGCTCAGTTGGATTTTCCTCATCTCTAGCTCTCCATCTCTGTACTGAGGCTAGAGAGAGAAGTGAAGAGTATCAGGACCCCTCATTAGGATGGGAGTTCTCCAGGGCAGAAGTAGCATTTTCCAGGGTCCAAAACAGAGGCAGTTAGGGAGGGTGAAGGAAGGATTCCCCTAAACCGTGGTTCCCTTGGTGCCTGGTCCAGGGTGGCAAGATGACACGTTGGCATCCTGTGCTTAGCTCTAATTCCTGCTCTGGGGTCCCACCCTGCTCCTCGTGGCTATTCTTCCTGATTTAGTCCTAGAGAGGAAAAGCAAGTCACCAACCAGCCTTGAATCCTAGTCCTTTGGGGCGGCTCCATCCAAAGAAACCAGCTGCTGGGTTCCTCCGTCCTCGCCTGCCTCTCCTGACACCTCACACTCGGGCGCGTCTGCACAGTTTACAGCTCCCTGTGCAGGGAGCAGGGAGCAGCGAGGCGGCAATTGCTAAAAAAGGCCGCTGTCACTGTCCCACATTATGGATGAGAAACCCCATGCCCAGGGGTCGTGACCTCTTTAGGATCCAAATGACTCAGATCTCGGGGCTCCCAGCAGCCCACCCAGACAACCTGTCACAATCTCACTCCTCTCCCCTCAAAATAAGGAAGCACCCTGAGCCCCCACCCTGAGCCCCCACTTCAACCATTTCTGGTTACAGGGAGGGAAGAGAGGGGAGCGGCACAGATCCATCTGGAGGAAGGAACGAGATAGGGACAAAAATCAATGACACGGGAACAGAGGGTCACGGGCAGAAAGGTTCCAGGCCAGAGACAGGCAGAAGGGAGGCCGAGGCACCTCCAGACCACAGAACTGGGGAGACAGAAAGAGGGGAGGCCGGGGGAGAGGGGCGAGGGCGCCGCAGGGCTGGCCTCATTCCTGGGCTTCCGTGCAGGGGAGTCCCTTCCTAATGCACATGGCCCCAGGGGTGACCACAGAGGGACATCTGCTCTGTTCCCCCGTGGGCCCTCACTGGGAGCCGGGCTTCCAAGACGCAAGCCCTCCTGAAGCTACAGCCTGGGCCAGACGCAGCAGGACCCCGCCCCCGCCCCCTGGGGCCCAGCCTCAGGCCTATTCTTCCAGCCCAGCTCCCTGGTCCCCAGGAGGCACAGGGGAGTCTGACAGAGGGAGAGAGGGAGGAGGCAGCCATGGCTAGAAGGGCCATTGCTGGGGATCAGAAGCAACGGAGACAGGTGGAAGGGAAGAGGGAGAAGCTCTAAACATTCTCCTCTTCCAGGAAGCCTTCCTTGACTGAACTGACCCAATGGAGGCCATTAGAAGCCTTCATTGCATTTGGATTTGGGAAGCCATTTAAGGAAGGAGTTGTAGAGAGAGAACCAGGGAGAGAGCGGGGCAGGGATGAGGCCAGGAATAGAGGGAGAAGCTGGGGGGTGGGGGGGAGTCAAAGAGGGAATGGGAGAGCGGGAGAGACAGGGTGTGGGGCACCGAGGGGCCCTGGGTCATTACTGAGCACGGTGAGCTTGGCCCTCCGGGAGCGCAGGGCGGCCTCCGTGGCCTGGCACTCGTAAGAAGCGTCGTCAGAGAGTTCGGCATCGGTGATCTCCAGGTTGTACTGTCCGGCGTCCGCAGAGCCCACAACCCGGTACCGTGGCCAAGCTGCAGAAACAGAAAGCATGAGACCCAGCCCTGGGGCCAGGACCCCCCTGTCCCCAAGGACTCATCCTCTCCCCACATCTCATCTCCGGTCAGGACGTCTTGCTCTGCCCTCTCCTGGGCCGCCGTTGACAGGTGACATCATGGAGTGCCAGACTCCAGAATGTCAGGACCCCCCCATGGCGAGACTGGGAGCCGTAAAGTAGGAGGGGCAGACGGGGTGGTGGGGGGAGAGAGCAGAAGCAGATGAAATCTCGGAAGCGGTTTGCAGACAAATGTCTCTCATAATGATAGCAAAGGGAGAGGGGGAGAGGCAGGCAGCAGGGCGAGGAGGGAGGGGGAGAGGGGAATATCGGGCATCGCACCACAGACACGAGCTCACTGGGGGCGCCTCTGTGGGACTTGGCAAGGCAGCGGGAAGCCCAAGGCAGGCCTGGGTCTTGCCCCTGCCACTCACCAGGGGAGGTGTGGGCCAGGCAGAGTCCTCCAGCTCCCGCAGGGGCCCCTAAGCAGAGTCCTGCTTCCTCGCAAGGAGGATGGCTGGATTCAGGGGTCCTCTCGGTTCGTTCCCCCTTATCCTCCCTCCTGCAGCCTCCCACCCATTCCCCTGGCCTCCCACGATCTCCCTCTGTCCAGAGGCTATCGATTCTTCTCACTCCATATCTATTGATTTCTCTCTCTCTTCCTCTCTCCTGGTTTCTCTTTCCATCATCGATAGATGCACCAAACCCTTCCTACAGATTGCTCCACACCAATTTCCCCTCCCTGGAATCCACAGCAAGTCGTCTCAACCCCCTCGAAAATAAGAAGAACAGAAACACACACAGCCCCTCCCTAGGCCACGAGAGTACTCCACAGCCGACGCTTTTCTGTCTGCACCAGGCCCCTTCTCTCCCTTCCTGCCTGCAAGACCCACAGGTGCACTTTGAAGGCAGGCACACCTTTCAAAGGGACAGGTAGGCCTGTTTCACGCTGCAGTAAACCAGGCTCAGTGAAGGGAGGTGACTGTCCTAGAACACCCAGCTGGCAGGTGGCAAGGGCAGGAGGACAGCCCTGCGAGCCTGGCTCCTCACCTGTTCTGTCAGGGGGCCCTTCCACAGGCTCTTGACTTGCTTGGGAACATAGGAGGATTTTGGGTTTGCTTCTGACTGAATCATTATGTTTTTCTCAACACTCGCTTCATAGCCAGTGCTTAATAAACGCTTGTTGAGTGAATAACTGAATAAGTGCTCAGGCTGATGTTAAAATGAGGTTTTGGCAAACATGGCCTGAGTGTGTGTGTGTGTGTGTGTGTGAGTGTGTTTGGGGGTGGTGGAGGGGGGAGCAGAGGCAGCCTGTGTGATGCACTTGAGGGACACAGGAAGTGCTGGAACTTGCCAGCAGACAGGTGATGGTACTGTCCCAGCATCTCCTGCTTGACCTGCAGCACCTCACAGTGTCTGTCTGTCTTACCAGAGTCTCTGGTTTCCCTTGATCTCCAGGCTTTGGGTTGCCTTTCCCCAGCCTCCACAGTGAGGAGGAAAGACAGAGATGCAGGGTGGGCCGGACAAAGCTCAGGAGGAGATGGAGAGAGGAGAGTCCACAAGTCTAAGCTGGGAGTGGGAATCGGGGTACACATGGGGCTGTCAGGAAGCTGGGTGGCCCCGCAGTACCACTCACCTTTGAGACCCTGGCCCATACCCAGGGCCAGCCCATCCTTGGTCCATTGCACAATCCCAGAGTAGTTGAGGAGCACACAGGGGAGCACCGCCCGCTGTCCCGCGACCACAGTCTGGTCAGCTGGCTCCTGGCTGAAGCGGGTCTGGGTCCCTGAGAAGCCAAAGTGGGCATTGTATGAGGAAACAGGGGGTCTCCAACCAAGATGCCACCCCTCTCGGGCTCCCATGCCCACCCACCCCTAGAAAAGGCAGGCAGGAGACAGCCTCAGGCCCTGGGGGGAGGGGAGACTTCTTGCCCTTGTCCTATTTCAGCACCAACCCGATCCTTCCAAGACGTCACGAGCTTGCCCTCTACTCCGCTCTCCCTCAGTGGCCCACGGGAGTGAGTTTCGGGAGTGGGTTTCAGGGGTGCTTAGCAATTAGCAGTGGTGCAGTATTACGTAAAGGCCTTAGAGATGGGTCTGGCCCAGCCCTCTCATTTTGCAGAGGCAGACACTGAGGTCCAGAGAAAAGAGGATCTGAACCACAGGCACCCAGTGAGTTCACAGTAGGGCTGGGGTGACAGCTCAGCTGCTGTCCTGCAGGTCCTGGGCTGTTCCTCTAAGACCCCACCCACTGCCTCTCCACACACCCAAGTTCATGCAGGACGCGTTGATAATGAAAGCCCCTGGAGACGCTGCAGTCCACCCCTCCGCCCCCACCAGGTCCCTGGGACTAGGCCCATCCGCACACACGAATACACCACCATGAGTCTTCTTGGACACGTGGCGTGAGCCAACATGTGGGCAACAGTGCCAGGCATGATCCCCCAGGGCAGGCGGATCCACGTGCCATGCATGTGCACAGAAGCTCCCTGGGTGGGGACTAGATCCACAAGAAAGTGGACACTGTCCCTGATCCATGTATTTACCCCTTGGCCCAGTACGGGGGCACGGGGTGGACACACCGACACACCTGCACACACTCAGCTTCTGCCGAGAGGCCGAGAGGCCGTGTGACTGTGCTCCCCTCTCCCTCCGGCTGCAGGAGCTACACATGGCTGCCCGGCTGGCATCTCGGCCGGGAGCATTTGATTAGAGAACTGCAGAGTAATTGCCTTTAATTGTGGAGCCTAAATGGAGCAGGGAATTGGATTGCGGGTTTCTTCTCCCCCACTGCTCCCACCCACCCGCTAGCTCCATCGCTGGGCTCGCTCCATCGCTGGTAGGCCCCACAGCCCTGGGCACCTCGCAGAGCTGGAGGAGCTGGGCTGGGGGGAAAGTAGTCGGCAGGGGAGGAGAGACTAGAGGACAGCAGAGGGAGAGGTCTCTCTCTGCCATGCTCCCAATCGGTCACACCAAGGTAACCAAATCAGCTTTCCCCAGAACGCAGGGGCTCCTCCCTCTTCTGTCCCTCCTAGCTCCCCAAGTCTTTGTAGAGTCCCAAATCCCCGAATCCAATCCTTTCCAAACCCATCTTCCCCCAATTTTTTCTGACCTACCTACCATTGCTTCTGTTTGTAGAGGAATGGAACTCACCCTCTCTCCATTTCAGCACCTCTCTCTCAGCCACTGCGGACACCTCTAGTTTTTCTGTTTGTTTGTTTCCAGTGCTGGGAATGCACTTAGGGCCTTGAGTGCGCTAGGCAGGAGCTCTGCTGCTCAACTGTAACCCCAGTCCCACAATCCATCTGATCCCCTCCATTTTTTTGGCTGGGTTGAACCCCGGGCCTAGCCCATGCGCTCTACCTTCTTTTTTCTCCTCCAGACCCATTTTCTCCCATCTTCCCAAATCCGCTCCACATTTCCCGCTTCCAGGAAGCCTCCTAAACTCATCCTTGGGCTCCATGGCCATCCCAGCTAGTCCTAGGCCCAGGGCTTCCTGTCTCAGGCTATCAGGGTTTACACCCATGGTCTTGTGTGCCAGGAGACCCAGGGGAACAGGTGGGTGGGGTGTGTGTCTCATCTGTTCTTCCGGAATGGGAACCTCTCTCCCAAGGCCAGGGGCCATGCTCTGTCTGAGAAACTGATGTGACTCCATTTTTGAGAAACCAGCCTCTACCTCAGAGCAAAGCCTGTCCAAGGAAGGGGGCGTGACCCTTGTCCTTGAAAAAAAAAACCACAGAGCACTCCTAGGCACATTCCCGCCCTGCTGAGTTGTTTATCTACAAATAACAGGAGAGATCTGCTGAGCCAGGTGTCCCTGACTCAGTCAGGCTAGGTGGGGACCCATAGCAACCCCCTAGCAGCCACCAATCAGCATGAGACAGGGAAATACCTGGGATGCCAGATGACCCTCCCAGTAGTTTATGGTGGTTGATAACATGTTGGGAAACCATGTAGTTCAGCACGTATCCCCCCTCGTGGCCTAAACCAATCAGTTCAAAGGAATCCCCCTCTTGTACTAACCAATCACCCCTACCCAACTTGTTCCCGACATTGAATGTGCTCATCAATGTTAAGAGTTGTTGTTTGACTTTCCAGCGGTATGGAACGATTTGCTGTGTGACACGTAGTGACGCATAGAGTATCCCCCAAAACCTATAAAATCTCACTGAACAAAGGACCAGGACTCACTCCCTGGGACCGCTGTGTCTGGAATGGCTGTGAGTCCAGGCTCGAGAGCTTGCAATAAAGACCCTTGTGTGATTGCATCGGATTCGGCTCCTGGAGGTCCATTGGGGTCCCATGAATCTGGCATAACATGTCCTCCCTCTGAGTCCCTGGACATTGGACATCCATCCACATTAGTGGCTGAGAAGCAGGTTGGTGGCCATAGGACAATATAATCTCACGCAGCCTTTTCATTCTTGGTTAAGTGCACCAGTTCGGCCCTTTGGGTCGGCCGGGGACCAGGAAATGAGAAACAGGGTCCTTCTCCCACACGTGTGAGCTGCTCCTCACCTCTGCATCCTGACTTCTCCTTAAGAAGGAAAGGTTCCTTCACATTTTGAGGGATGAGGGTGGCAGGTGCTGAGTTCCTGGGGGAAGGGTGGGTCAGGTGAGCAGCCAGCATTATTAATTCAGGCATTTGCCCTCATTATTATTCAAATTTATTCATATCCTTGCGCATTTCTCTAGAGCAGCTACATACTGCAAACTCTCCACACTCACATTTCTCCTTCCCATGGCCCCTGGAGGCCCCGTGAAGGGCTTAAGAGTGGAGTGGCCAGTAAGCCCTGGCTCAGAGATGGAATTGACATCCCTAGTTTTTTTTTGCATGGTGCCTGGTCACTCTGGTCTCTTGTTGAAATCTGCAGAGGACAGTGAGCAGCTGGCTCCTTGACCACTTGGAGTGAGGTGGCGGTTGACCCTGCAACAGGACAGAGGTGGGAAGTGCCTGGATTCAGAGTCAGGAGATGGGTTTTGCAGAAGTGAGGAGTCCAGTGTCCTTGGGCACAACACTCCCTCATCCGGGCCTCCACTTGCTCACCTGAATGATGACAGGTCTGAGCAAGACTGCAACTGTCCCTTTCTGCTCAAATCCTAGGAGCCAAGTGTAGGAAAGAGAATGTGGTTTACATTGTGCCTCTGGGGCTTCCTAACCTGGTGACCTTGGCCAAGGGACTGACCTACTAAGCTTCATTTCCTCCTTAGTAAGTTCGGGAAAGATGAGGCCTACTCCAAGACATGGGATAGATGCCACGCCCCATACGGTCCCCTGCCGGTACCCTCTGAACGGTACCCTCTGAACGATACCTACTGTCATTATTGACCCTGAGCAGTTAGACTAACTGGAGGGGCCGCAGGAAACCTGAGCAGGTACAGGATGAAGAAGGTGGTGATTAGCTGTCTTTCTGGGGATTTGGAAGTAAAACTCACCCTTGGGTTAGGCCTGACGAGGCAACGGAGTCTGGAAAGAAGGGACTCAGCAGAGATTCCAGAGAAGTTGGAAATGAAGCGGTTCCAGAATCTAAGTCCATGGGAAGGTTACCTAGATCTGAGCCTGCACGTCACAAGCAGGGTTTCAGGTCCCCAAACAGCCCCTGTACTCCAGATAGTGAGTGAGATGAAGTCCAAATGCCCCAGGTGGTACCCACGCTGGCTCATGATCAGGGGAAAGCCCCAAGTATGACTTCACCGTGTCCTGTTCTCTCTACCCCACACACTCCACATCAGGTCTCTGTCATCCCCTACCCCCCAGGGGAGGCGCCCAGAGCTGGGGGCAAACAAACAGCAGGAGACAGCCCCCTCTCTGCAGTGGGAGGAAGAACAGTGCTCAGGCAGGACGAGGAGTGGGTCTTGGGGGTGGATGAGCGGAAGGGAACATCTGGAAAGTGAACCGGGAGTGCCGGTGTCAGACAGGTAGGAAGGGTAGAGGGGCCTGGCTGCCTCTGGGGGCACCCGCTACTGCATGTCCTTGAGTGTGAAAGTGTCATGGACCCGGAACCCGTGGCTTAGCGCATGGCATATGCACACGTCCAGACACATTCCCAGCGTCCTGAGCACCTTGCCTTGTGCCATCTGTTCCAGAGCAGGGTCTTTCCTGGACCCGCATTCAATTTTTACTCCCAATCTGAGCCTGTATCCACTTCCAGGAAATAAAACCAGCACCCAACAGCAATGAGGGGAACTGGGGGCTGTAGGGTGAAGTGTCAGTGGGGCAGGAGGTGGGGTGGGGGGAGCACAGAAGGTCTGACTGCAGACAGAGAGGGAAACAGACCATCCTCCTGTTAAACAGCATCAAATCGAGGCCTCACCTGGTGGGGGGGGGGGCTATCCTGCTTCTGCGCATGTTTTTAAGTGAATTCCAGCCTGCTCTGGTGTCCTCCCCTCCTGTCTTCAGGAAACATCTCAGAACCATCACAGTAGCCAATGCGAAGGCAGGAGGAGAAAAACGGAGCTGTCCACACATCCCAGCAGGACAGGGCCCAAGGGGTAGGCCGACAGAGGTGCAAATGACGCTGAGAAACACAGACACTCAGGGGGAGAGCAAAGGAGACGAGAGGAAGGAAATGGAGCCCGGGGTTGGAAAGAACTCAGGCTGGGAAATGCACTGTGCTCTCCCAAGGCACCACGTGAGATCTGTGTGCAAAGACGCCCGTGAAGTGACACAGACCCGGGCCAAAGCAGAGAAGGCAGGTGGAGAGATGGGGACGTGCAGCGTGGCAGGGGGAGAAAGGACGTTTCAGGTGAACTCCTGCCCTCTGTGCCCCACCCTGTAACACAAAGC